ATAATGATTATAATAAAAATAAATTGTAAGCATCTTTTGTATGGAAAAGTTTTTTTTTTTTTTTAACGCAATAAAAACATTGTAGGATAACGTTTGTAATCTAAAATTAATATTAAATATATGCATGAAAAATTTTAAAGGCAGAAAGATTTTCAAAAGATCGGCAACATGCATCGCAGGCTTTAATAAATAGATCAGCATTAAAAAAATGTGTATATAAAACGTATAACTTATTATATCTTAAAGAAATGTCTTGAAGTTAGCTCTTCTGCTTTAAAAATTTCTTATACTTACCTCTTTCAGATGTATATGCATAAGTACATCATAGGCGATGTTCATCCGTAGTTATGTACATATACGGGATGATACTAGCATCACATGAGATTCCTTTTGCTACGACTAACGTACTAAGATTAATACAAATGTAAATATAAAAAGAAATGCTTGAATTGTATTTTCTGTTTCCTTGTTCTTTCTTCGTGTCCGTCCTCTTCATTTTCATCGTCTGCTATTTAACATTTTTAAATAGTATTCACAATTATTGCAATAAACGGCGGGTGCAATAATGTGCCTTTTGCGACACAAACCACATTCTGCAGCTTTAGCAGATGCCTTTACGATGGCGTTATTGTAAATTCGTGTAGGGATCGGTGTCACATTCACTGGACCGTTACTTTGACCATCGGTGTTATTGAGGGTACCGGCTGAAATAGGGGTTACCTGTGCTGGTGGTAAAGGAAGGGGTGGTGGTGCCTGTTGCTGTTGTTGTTGGTGTTGTTGTTGGTGTTGCTGCTGTTGAAGTTGTGCAGGCAATGGGAGACCATGTTGCATATGTAACAGTGGTTTGGGTGGTAGTGTCGTCGTAGGCGTTTCCTTTGATTCTCCTTTTGTACCTGGTTCAAAGCTAACCTTTTTCGGTTTGCTATGCTGCTGAGGGTAGGCGGGTAGGGGCATATAAGGTGAGCCAATGTTTGGATTGTTGATGGGTTGCGTTGATGGCCTCTGCGAGTAGCAACCATCGCCGTTATTAGAATAACCATGTGGCAACGGGACTCTTTGATACGGTGAAGGTATGTGGGATTGCATGGTTTGTGGAGCGGGTTGATGATGATCTAGATTAGATACAATCGGATAGTAGTTAGTACTATGAAGGTTTGGTTGTTGTTGTTGCTGGTGTTGTTGTTGTTGCTGTTGCTGTTGCATTCGTTGCATAGCAAAGTTATGTTGTTGTTGTTGGTGCTGTTGTTGCGTATGTGCTGTTAGCATCTGCAAATGTTGCGTCGTGGCAACATTAGCGATACCGTTCATACTCGTGCGAGCCAAATGATGTTGATTGATTTGTGCAGAATCACCCATTGACGATATTTGACCACTTGCAGTTAGTTGCTGTTGCTGGTGGCTTTGTTGTTGCTGCTGTAGGCGGTAAATATCTTGTATAGGTGTATAAACTTGACCCGCTTGAAGCTGCTGTTGTACTATTGGTTTTTGCAAATGTTGCTGCTGCTGTTGCTGTCGTAAGGCTTCTATCTGTGGTCTTTGCAATTGTACATATCGCTGCATATCTTGTTGTACTGTTAAGGGTGTTCGCCGGTCGTTACCCAGCATAGGCGACTGTTGCATTATTGCTGCTATTTGATGTTGTTGCTGCTGTTGCTGTTGTTGCTGCTGTTGCTGCTGTTGCTGCTGTTGCTGTTGTTGTATTGTCATACGTTGTGGCGCTTCCGCTTGTAGTCGCATGATGTTTTGTTGCTGCTGTTGTATCATCTGCGAAGTTAGTTTCTCGTTGGGATTCTGAGCTGTGCGCAGAACTCGCTCCAATATAGGGTTCGGTATGAAGTCGTCATCTTCTTCGTTGTCCGCAGTGGCCACTAGAATAACTTGGTCACAAAAGGAAACACTTTTCTTTTTTATGCGTTTGTTAACGGTATTACCGTTGGCGGTAGTAGGTGCTACGTTATTGTTGCTGGAATTGTTTAGAGTTTGCTGCATTATGTTGTTGAGCATTTCAACTTCTCTGATTTCCTCAGCTATTTGGTTTTGCGTCACGTCGTATTTAGGCTTAGGCAAAATTCCGTTTATTGTCGCATTTGATGAGTGAACCAAATTTTGACGTTGTTGCAAAGTAGGTGGTGGCGGCCTTTGAGGCAAGCAATCTACTTCGTCGTTGTCACATTTTGATGAAAGACCATTGATTGGCGTGCGTATACCTGTTAGTTTACTATTGAGCAACTCTTGGGAACCAAATGTCCTTATAGGCCCTGGAGATTGTTGGCATTCAAAACGCTGCTGCTGAAGATGATGTTCTTGTTGTTGACGTTGCATTTGTTTATTTTGCAATTCTCTTAACCATGAAACCTCTGTGTTAGACGCTTGCGTAACCGTGGGTGTCGCCGAATGCTCTTTGCGCATTTTCATCAAATGTTGTCTCTGCTGTAGTTGAGCTAAAATACTTGTTGTGCCTTCCATATTATCCATGGATTTTTGTTGTTGCTTGTTAGCCGCCTCTAAGGCTTGTATCTGATTGATTTGTTGATTGAGAGGCTCTAAGTCAATTTCGGGTGGCGGTGGTGGAAAATCTTCGCTCGCTTGCCTAGAATGACTTACCGATTGAGGTGGGCTAGGGTATGGCGGTAATTCTAAAGGCGGAGGTGGGGGTGGGAAATCATGAGAATCTTGCCTTATATGCCCATCTACAACATCAACCGAATTGGAGTCATTTATGAATTGCTTTTGCTGTTGTTGAAAATGAGACGCAGCTGTCTGAAACATATTCTCCTTTAGAGGGCTTTGTTCCGAATGAACTTGTGCACAAGTAGTTATAATAGTCTGGCATGAGTCTTCACTGATGGAGGTATTTGAGCTCATAGCCGATATGTTGGAGAGATTGGCCTCGTGGTGGTAATGCCGCATTAGGTTAATGTCTTGCTGTTGTTGCAAAGCTAATTGTTGCAACTGCTGATTATTTAAGCTAGAACTAGTACGCATGGGTGGTGGTGGGGGAGCCACCTTAGTTACTACCGTCAATTGTCGACCACTGCCATGGAAACTTTTGCGCATCAATTTACTTCGCTCTAAGTTAGGATTGGCGTTAACTCCATTTGTTGTTTGATTGTCTTTATAATCGAAATGCCCTTCCGAAATATAACCACTAAGAGGGTTCTTACCAGGCATTCCTACCACACTGTCATCCACTGATGTTGTAATGGGAGCAGGGGGCGAATTCTGTTGATTCGCATTGTTTGTTTCATCTCCAGTTTCCGTAAGATCGGGCATTGAACGGTTTTTGCGTCTTATCAAACCACCCATCAGCAACTTTCGTCTAATCTTGTGCTGTTTTTTACCGTTCTTTCCCTCTTTTTCCTTTTTCTCTTCTTTGTCCTCTTTATGCTTTTTTAGAGTGTCCTTAGCATTGACCAGAAGAGTTTCGGTTAAAGAAAACTCACGATTAATTTTATTACGATCTTCACTGCGACTGCGCTTGTCTTTCTCTTGTTTACCGCTATTGCGACCGAAGAGAGAACGACTTTCACGTTCCGGTTTTGAAGGTGTTTCTAGTTCAATGACATCGGCCTCAGCGGCCGCTGTAGCCAAGGCCTTCAAGGGGCTCTTCTTTTTCGGTAAGGTCGCATAAATTTCTATACTTTTATTATTATTGCTGTTGTTGCTTGTGTTACTGTTATTAATGATGTTGTTAATGTGGCTGTTGCATATGCTGGAACTTACAGCATTATTCGATGATTTATCCAATGTCTTATCTTTACTATTCTGGCGTACATGTTTGACAACGCTGCTGTTGCTGCCTTCACGCATATGTTTCATCTCAGGCGTGGCATCCATTTCTGCTCCCTTTTCAATGAGAATACGTCGATGCAATGAGCGAGCTCGCATTACACAGGTATTATGTTTCATCCGAGCAAATGTCATAGTATGAGGATTACTGTAAGGAGCATCCATTGCAGCTCGAGCTCTTCCTGCTGCCGCATTACATAAGACCAACGCCGTCTCAAGATCGTGAGATTCTTCAAGGATTCTAGACTTTTCAAGGAGTTGATCAGCTTCTTGGCATAATTTTTCACAGTCTCCTGTTAATACAACTGAAGGTGCAGCTTCCGGTATTTTAGCCAATTGGGGATTTAAGGGATGCTTAGGAGGATAGGAATCGGTGGAGCTCAAAGAGAAAGAATCATAGCCTGGATCATATGGTAAGCCATTCCGTGTTGGGCTTTGAGGGACAGCGGATGCGGAACGTTTGCCAACCATGTATAAGTAGGGATTATCCAAAGTAGTAGAGGATGCTGAACTAGCCGAATTACGGTCACCCGACCAATTGCCGGAATCACGGCGTCGTGGCTGATTCAAATGTTCAGGTATAGTCAAGCCATCACTAGGTGGTGATGAGCTATTTGTTGATGAAGTTGTTGAAGAAGCTGATGAACCTGAAATATGGCCCGACTCAGCACTATGAGATCGTTGCAACTGCAAATGCTGGTGATGTTTACGAGCTAACTGCGCATTTAAAACATTTTCCAGGTTTTTACGCTGTTGGTAGCCATTCATTGTAACATTAGTTATATCTTTATCTTCAACACTAAAAATTTTATCCTGTATGATGTTTAAATTTTGATATTGAGCACTTAGAACATGTTCCACTGTTTTTCGACATATGTAGGCATCAGTTTCGTCAGTGCCTATTTGTTTCATTTGGGGATTGTTTACCGAGTTCGGAGAGGCGGGAAATATGTTATCTTGAATAACACTAAGGTTCTGATAATCGTTGGGCATCCGGAGAGGTGTGGGTGTAATGGCACGTCTAGTGTTGCCCAATTGAGGCTTCTCAGGGCTGGGAGTAATGGCTCGGCGTACAACGGTCGACTGTGAATTGCTGGCGATTTCTTGCAAATATTGAGACGATGACATTTGTGCAACGGATTGCGTTTGGCCCCCATTTGGCTGTGGTATAGCGTAGAGCAATAATAATGGTTGATAACGCCCGCGACTGCATTTATCAACAACACCTTCCCAATGCGGACCGACCTATAAATATAGCATAGAAAATTAATTTCCCTTGAAAATGTAATCGATTAATGATATTTACTTCTTTCACATTGGCATCGTCGAAGTACACCCAAACTTTAAGTTTGGTATGAAAGAAAAATGTGGTATAGTGTTTGCCATAATATGAAACAATGCCCACAAGTTCATGTTGAACATTTTGAGCCCAATGTTGTTCCGCAACTTGATGAAAGACATCGGACAAGCGCAACGAAGTGCCAATAGCCTTCAAAACAGCATGCACTTGATCAGCAGCAGGCCGTTCTGAGTCCCAAACGATGCCAATTGATACGACATCGGGACGATTGAGTAAAGCACGGCAAATGCCGATTTTAGCACCACACGAATTCTGCAAGAAAGAAATTTATAAAAAAAAGAAGATATTTTCGATGCAATGAAAGTAAATAACCAAAAATCTTTATGTATGTACTTACCGGACAATCTCGAATATCTCCCATATTACCGGCTGTTCGCAATAATTGACCAAAAGTTAATTGTTGATGATTTTGCAAAGCCAAATTATTCTGCGAAGTTAGTGCAGAGGCGGAAACATAGTGAACCATCTGTAGAGAGAAAATACCGAAATCATGTAATCAATCAGTTTAATTTAATGTAATCACAAACTCGTAATGTGTAGGATTACTTGTTGAATCATAATTCAAAGCAAGTGTATGGCTAACTATAAATGGTTACAGAGATTCGTAGTTGATAAAGGAGAGCCATTAGATTAATTGCAGAATTACTAAGACTTGGACAACGGAAGTCTAGCACCCACGTTTCGAATCTATATATGCACATCGCTGATTGCTCTCTTTCTCCTTATTTTCTAAGCACGTGCTTTGTCATTTCAAATGCTTTACAATTATCACCACTTTAATGTAGGTTCTGCTACAATAATTGGTGTTCTTTCTTCTTACTTCATCAAATAATGTTGCTATTATTATTTTATAATATACGAGAACTTAATATGATTTGATTCTGATTTTGTATGATATAGGCGTTCAGATGACGTCAAGTGGTGCGTTCTCGTATTCTTATTACATATTACTTACTTACTATGTTTTTATCTGAATGTTGTAAATGGTTTTTTTATGCCCTACACGATTTATGGTACAAGGGTATTTCTACAACTTGTAGAAGGCCTTGAGAAGGGCCCGCTCGATCGATTCAAAATCATTTCCTGCATCGATCTAAGCTTGTTTGTCCATCTGTCCGTATTCTTCTGTTCTACTTACAAGTCCAAATTTTGGAGACATATTGTTGAAATTCAGTGCTTCGTTATGTTTTGGCCCATAAATAGACGCTATGGAAAATAATTCGAATCGTTTCGGTTCACCTTTCCGATCGTTTCCCATAAATGGCCGTATTTTGAAAAGTCGTTATGTGAATAATTGTATTAAGCGAAATGGTGTAGGGTGTTTAATGGTGGGCCGTGGCCCACTATAACCTTTTCACTTGTTTATTTTCATTACTTTTGCATAAATTACTTATTGTTAATAAAACTGAATGAGTTAAGTTCTCATTTCGTTAAATTTATTACGCGAATATTACATGTACATTGAAAGTAAACTTAATAATTGTTAATGTTATGTAAATCGAATTAGAGAAATAAAACCATATCTATGCGGAAGTTCGAAAAAATTTGGAAAATTTAAACAAAATAAAAAAGAAAAAAAAAAAAAAACTGAGAACAAATGTAAGCAAAGTTGAAAGTTCATTCAGGAATCGATAGTGATATATTTGGAAATAAAGATGGGCAATGACTTACTGCTAGGCTTGAGAAATGACGATAAACGAACGTTACTAGCATAACAACTTTCGATTTATATACTTTTTTGTAATCGAAGAGCATCGAGCAATTACCATTAAGTGCTCAGAAATCTGAGATAGATTTAATGCTTAGCTTATTTGCTGCTGTACTCGCCTCAACGTTCGGTAATTTTGCAGAATCCAAAGTCAATGGATGGTAACAAATACCGCCGTTAGTTTTAAAACTTAAATATCATTATATGCGGAAAATCTATGTAATGAGATTTGAGAAATCTTATCATCACGATATAATAGATACCTAGAGAGTATGGCTAGATTTAAACACTGTTCGGATAAAAGCAAGTACCTTCAGTATACTTTTATTAAGCTAAATTAAATGCTAAATTAATTAATTGGCTTGAAAACCATTTAGTGTAATATCAGAATAGTTTTGTCATTAAAGCCGAACGCGATTCATCCCATGCATCCCACTTTTTTCTCCTAAAAAGAAAACTTATTCGATGAAAATTGACTTATTTAAAGTGAAGGAACTCTTAGCAATTCAGAGAATTATTTTGATGATTTTGGACATACTTTTTTTATATCATATCAAAAAAAAAAAAAAAAAAAAAAAAAAAAAAAAATTATCAAAAAGGTTAAAACAAAGCATACATACATATATAGCTTAATTAAAGTAATTTTTTTTTTTTTTTTGTTTTTGTTCTTGAAATACACCCACTTAAATATATGAGAACATTCACTTTGAATAAGAGTTTAATCGCATGCACTGAATATGTGAATATGGCCAACATTAACTCCTTCATTCAAAAAGTTGTTCGCTTGCAAATGTAATGAACTTTTCACACGATGGCATACTAAGCTGATTGCATTATTTGTTAATTCCCGTTCCTATGGGATAACCATTGGCTTGTGCACATTATTTTACAATTTTCTTTACATTTTTCTATTCAAGGCTATCAAATTATATTTGAATACATTCAGTTCTCCAACTGATTACATTCGAATTTGAGCTATAGCTTAAAACTCTTTTTAGTTTGGATTAATGATTTTCAATTCGACTTTATTGCCGATCGAGGCCATTTTTTACATCAATTTCTTTTGCGCTTACCTTTATCTATATAATGGATACCGCAAGATTGTTTTCATTTTAAGTAGAAAATTTCGATCTGCAGGAATACGGTCAATATGGTGGTGTCAGTGAAAAGTGTTTTTCTTATTCAAGAATGCTTTTGGGGAGTACGTCATTCTTATGTCGGAATATGTGCGAAATTTTTATTTTTATACAATGATTGGTTGCTCGTAAGTAAATTCGAGAAGCATTTATATGAATTGGAGTATGGGATGGAAAATCATTCATTTATTACATTAGATTTACATTCTAACAATATTTCTCTTCATTTCAGCTTATTTTCCATTTTTTCTTTTTTATTGCATTTCTTTGGTTATTCATTAACGACGGAGGGTGTCTAATAATCGTTAAGGAATTCACGTTAAATTTAAAGTGCAAGTATGTAAATCAAATAAGTGAGCGACAGACCATTAACGTTACGATTCTTGTTAATTTTTTTTTTTTTTTTGTATTTCAATAGAAACGTAACACATGTTCTGTGCACTGGCATTTCTGTTTTTTATTTCATTTAATTTTTTTTTTTTCATACTTGATATACTGGTTTTTTTCTCACACATTAGATCTAAACAATTTTTCAATATCAAGCAAGTTACGTGGAAGACAAGGTCTATTATTTCAATTGTCTTGCTATATCCATTATCGAAAGCGGGCTTATGTGACTTCCATCGTATCGCTTGTAGTACTGAGACATATACACGGGAGCCATGATATACATATGTATATAAATTTCGGATATTTTTGGATATTTTTTGTTGGTTTAGCCATCTTCTACTCTTTATTTCCCGTATTATCGTTAGAATTTTAATATTTGTAAAAATTGCGATCGAAAGAATTTCAATAAAGAACGTCGGTTCGTACATGCGACTATCTAATGCGATAAATGAAATTTGGGATATGTGTCATTTCGTCTACTTATTCGTTATTAGTATTTGTCTGAAAATTGTAAAAAGTCAAAAAAGTCACGATATAATCGTATTGGCCGTTCCGATTAGATTTGAAAAGGAACATAATTCACATATACAAATAATAAAATTGAAATCAATGTCCGTTGAAATAAAGATTCGTTATATTGTACATCTGATATCAGCCTATAATTTGTCACAAATTGATGCAAAGTTAATACTGCTCAGCTATATAAGTAACCGACACATCCTCAATTAACGAAAAGCCTTGCGATATTTTTATTTTTGCTTAAGGTGACTAATCGACTCTTAAGTCGACAAAATTCGCATGTAAAGTAATTTTTTGTTTTATACTTCGACAATGATTTCGTAATAAGAAAAAGAGCGTTTCTGCTAAGAGTTCATTCATTCAATTTGACAAGATCAACAGATAAGAAACGATGAATGAAGGGCACCGTTCGCCACAGTTATTGGCCAATTAACACAATAAATACTCGAATCTATATTATTTTTTTTTAATGAATAACTGTGAACGAAAGAATGGTATTTTATAAGAAATAAAAAAAAAAAACCAAAAAAACTCAGCTTCATGTGCTAAGTCTGATTTTCTATAACTCTCGATTTAAAAAAAAAAAAATAAATAAATAATAAAAAATAAGACCCATTTTTAAGGAATTTCTTAATTTTTGTTTGTATTTGTTACTACTAACCTGAGTGAACGGCAGCTGTTCAGAATTGGCGCCACACTTGCATACGCTCTGCTCAATGACACGCATTGCGAAGCGACGATGAGCAATGCAAGCTTGCGATTCGCAGGCATCAACATCATCAGCCGAGATATGAGAATGTACGCGATGTAGTAATAGCTCAAAACATTCGGCCGCGTCACCCAAGCAACCCAATGGAAAGCGACGACCGGCTAGCGGGCCACTGGCTAAAGCACGTCGCAGAGGTTCGGGACATAAGGCTGGCTCTGAACTGGTTTGCAATTGCTGGAAAAGTTCCTAAATTGATCGAAACAATGAAAATCAAATGTTTCTTTAATTCATTTTTTTATAAACGAAATCAATGAATAGAAAGAAATAATTGTAAAGGAGCAATGTCAATATGTGTGTATGTGTCTTTTTTTTATTTTTTTTTTTATTTTTAATAAATTGTTTTTTCTTTCATTCGTTTTACTTACTAACACAGCATTTATGCAACGATCTCTTTCTGCTATACTTTCTAAACTCAAACTCATGGTCATTTTGATGTTATGTTGTTGGTGATGCTGCTGCAGTTGTTGCAATGATATTGGTAAATGGCAATTATTATTATTGTTATTATTGTTGTTATTATTATTATAACCCATTATCGCCAATTCGATGGTTGAGGCAACTTTTGCAATTGATGACATTACTTTACGTGCAGCGTTATTGTTGCTATTGCTGTTGTTATTGCTGCTATTGCTATTGCTATTGGTATTGGTATTACTTTGGCGTGTTAATGTGGCCGATTTGTGACCATCACGTGCATCTAAATTCTTTTTAGGTGTACTACGCGGCAACGTACCCCCGCTGCCGGGCAAAGACTTCATCATCATCATTGTTGTCATTGTCTGACAATGCTGCGGATGTTGTATCAATTGAGCCGTTGAATTAACTATATTTATAGGTGCTGTTGTGGTAAGTTGTGCTGGTACTGCGTTTAGCAAACAACCATTATATAATTGTTGTTGTTGCTGCTGTTGTTGCTGCTGTTGTTGCTGTTGCTGTTGCTGTTGTTGCTTATTGTTAATCATGTTAACTTCAATATTTTCTTTGGATACATTAGATATTATAGTTTCTTTTGCCTTAAAATTGTTGTTATTATTGGTATTTATTGCTTTGGTAGTCGTTGTTGCAATCGATGTCATTGCTGAAGATGATAATTGCGCTGACGCTGTGACAGTTGTTGGCGTTTGAGGTTTCGTGGATTTATTCAAATTTGAACCTACCGCACCGATCGGTTCTTTACGCTTATAACGGAACTTAATCATTTTGCCGCTTTTTCCTTAATTTCGATTAAATTCCATAGAAGGCGGGCAAATCGTGAGATGACGTATTTGAAATTTTTATAAATTTCTTTCTTTTCTTTACAACATATTTGCAATTGCTAAAATTATAATTTATGCGTTTTGTAAATTTAATATTTAACCCTTTCGATACAAATCAAATCAAATATTAATTTTGTTGTTTTCATAGGTTAATGATTTTTCAGTTTACGTGGACCATTTTTCTTTTCTGTTTTTTTTTTATTTTTTTTTTTTATTTTGAGAAAATGCTAAAGTCCCGTTATTTTAAGGATTCTTTATTTTTCGTTTTATTCAATAGTTGTTTTGTTTGCTCGTCTCTTTTTAATAGATAACAATAAGCAAACCTTGAATGCTATGAACTCAACATATGTTAAGCTTTCAATCAACAGTGAATTGAAGGCAGTCAGGAGAGTTTTTTTGTTATTTTTTTTTTTTACTTATCATTCGAAAATGGTATCAATTTACGATTGTATTTCTTTTATTTTATTTTATGTTCTTTTATTTTTTTATTATCCTTTAAGCCACAACACGTGCTATAAACGTATTTGTATAAATACAACCCTTTAAAACATGTTCTCACTTTTTATTGATTCTTGACATTAAGTAAATGGTCTGCAACTGTTGTCATTTATTTTCAAGTAACAAAAGGTAATTTGAAACAATTATGCAAAATCAGTAAAAAAAAAAAATAAATAAATAAATAAACAAAAAAAAAAAACAGGAAAAACAGTTAATTGTGCTAATAAGACTTCTTTAAAAACATCACCTTTAACATTTTCTTTCCTTTAATTTAGTTTCAATTTTCATCGACTAAAAGCATTTTCTTATATATATACATTTTACATTTTTTATAGCTTCCGTTTTTGTTATATATATATATATTGTTTAGAACACAACTATCTTTAGTTGCCTTAACACGTCATCTTAAAGTCAACTAATTCTATATTTGTAGTTAAAAAAAAAAAAAAAAAAAAAAAAAATAAGCGCAACTGTTATGCATTAATCTAAGGAAGAAAATCTCAAGCATCCCGTTAAAGAGTTACTTAAAGCTTTAAGTAAAACAACTTAAAGTAGAAGAATGAAAGTATGTTCAGCCTGTACCGAGCAAGTTTGTGTTTTCTAGTTTAATAGTAAGGAAGATTTCTTGGATTGATAAATGCCGTATATTTTTGCTGAAAATCAACTAAATCGAAATAAATAGCTGATTATGTTCCAAAATGTACCTCTATTGCTTAGATGGCTAACATATTACAAATATTTTAAGTGTTTGCATCAGTACCTTGCAAGCTAGAACAGATATCGATTTGAAATGTGGATAAGGACCCTATGCAAATATCATCTGTGATTGTCTTTTCTCATATTGAATTGAATTTCCGTCTAAGGGGTGGAGTAAATATGATTCGCGACTATCAAGTCAATATTGGCGGTTTCATATCTGAAATGCGTTAGACGATGTAGAGAATACTCAGTGGTTAAACGTATTTTATATATTACTAATTGGATGCGTACCTCTCCCTCTTTCCGCTTTTTACGAACGACCTCTGTGTAGCACTTCTATTCCAGGCAGCCTAAAGACATTGTTTGCCACTCAAAAAACTGTTATAAGACATTTTAACCATCATTCAGTTAACATTCTTCATGTCGGTAAGTGGCTACCCTGAAGAGAATGACAAGTATTCCATAATATTTTCACGTTCAGATCGATTTTGAAGTTAACATGTACATATTGACGCGAGGTTTAGTAAAATGAGACCCAAATATAGTTAAGCTAGAACTAACCACCCTTTACCCGGAGTTTACCAGCCAATCCAACACAAACTTAGATGGCTTAAGTGTCAGATATGACGAAAATAAAAAGCAAAATTAAATCTCAATATTAAAAATTAAAAAAAAAAAATCCTACAAAACTCGAATTAATATATTTTTGAATATTTCTCAGCAATTAATTAGATGTCAAATGCTTGTAGGAAAGGAAGGGCCTCACAACAATCAATATATCAAATGTAATGTTCAATGTTATAGTATAGTGTGATAGATTGGATTACAAATAATGAAAAGTGTATTATATTTGCAAATAACTTGCAAACGTTATGAAAAGGTTAACTTTCAATTTTTATATAGTACATATATAGTGTTATATGCAGAGGCCAAGAGAAACGAGTTGGGTGCTGAAAATGCAAACTGTTCATTCTGCGAATGATGGCGCGAAACTTTGCTGAAAAGTAATTTAACTCAATTTAATTGAAAATATTATATTAAGCATAAGCAGCACCTTGGGCACCTGTTGATATGAATGCAACTAAAATTCACTTGCACAGAATAAAAACTTTTCAATTACCCAGCGCTTAAGAGGTGAGACTTAAATTGCAGTTTAACCACAACGGAAGAAATGAATGTGTGGGCAATACAAGATATAGACATGTAAAACTTATTTCGACGTCTTTATCAAAAATTCATAATGAGGTTAAACCCTCATATATGTGAATAACAAAGGCACAAAAATGCAATCGCTTGAGGTACAAAGTCATTTTGTCTGTCTCGTTGATTTGCATAATTAGTTAATTGAACAACGCATCTTACCTTGAACATAAACCATATATTTTGTGGTTTCGTACAAATTTGAGTGACATTTCTTATATTTTCAATTGCAACATGCATCATTTCTATATTAAAGTGACACCTACTTCAGAAAATTTCTACTTCTTCAAGTAAAGCCTCTTTCAAAGGTAAGTTTAAGCAACGCTTTATAGCGCCCTATATAAAACATATATATATGTATATTGGCGCATATACATATATATGTGTGTATATGTGTTTTTATTTTAACAACACAATAACCACAAGAGCATATAATATAAACAACAGATGCAGGTGCTTTTAGAGTAAATACAACAATGTTACTATGTATACGTATATACAAGCCACGCCAATGAGAAAAAAACGAAGCAATAAAATCGAGTTGATATACATACAAAATTTAGATCTGATTCTTTCGTTGCCACAAATAAAAAAAAGAATAGGTATAGATACTGGTTGGGCCGTTTCGTTAACAACTCGCAATAAATACGTTAGGAAGATCTATTGTTTTAAGTGCGCGGAGAGGAATTTTAACAGACTCCCACTCCCTCTAATAGTCGCGTAAGTTCATCAAATATTTTTGTTTTTTCTATCGTAGAAATATCGTATCAAAGTCAATTCTCGCTAATTTTGGATAGATGTAATATGCCAGTAAAGTTCATTGCTTATCGTTTAGGACAATACGCTTGAAAAAGTAGCTTATTGCTGCTTTCTCGTCAAGTAACTTAAGTATGCCTCAACCTAAGCATGCCATTGCACCCTCATTAGTTTTAGCTAAATTTTAGATAACTAAAGTGACCTATGGCCCTATTAGCTTGGGTAATAACGACATTAACGATAGTTCAATAAATGATATTGGATGGCCGTTAAAATAAGACTACAAGGATAGCAGAGACTACGTTTGGCACATATCAAGGATGAAAATTTACGCATTAGACGGCTGATCGTACATTGGATGCCGCGTTTGTTAACGCTAGAACAAAAAAACCGAGTCACAATTCAAGGGCTACTACAGAGTTCATTCCTGAGCCAAAAACATGTCTGTGTATCATTTTTCATCAAAATATCTCAAAAATTTACAACTTAATGTTTAAACACAAGAAAGAGGGACGGACGGACAAGCTGTGATTGATTCAGAGAGTGATTCTGAATAGATCGGAATAAAAAAATAGGTATAGGACTATTTCAAGTCCTAGTGGGATTGCGACTTGCCGCACAAACGTAATATAATCTGTACCGCAAGTTGGTACAAAAATGTATTGAAATTTTAGAGCATCCTTTAAATGATTGCATCATTCTTCACAGGCGACTTGATCGATGAATGAAACTGAATTTTTCTACAAATTCCGAAAAAACAATCCATTGTGTTCCTAA